TCCCACCCTTTGCTGCTCTCCCCCTCTCCCCGTCCCCCTCTGAACTCAGCAGTCCTGCTTCGGTCTTCCAAGTGCTGGGGTTAATAGTTGTGTCCCACTACCCTTGACATTAAAGATGCATCTTGAGCAGCCTAGTGCACAGGGAGAAACAGCTCTCGTCTCAGTGGTGGTCACGGTTTCTAGCTCCAGACCTTACTGGGATCCCTGCCTTGGTAATGGGTGCAAGAGCAGCCCATCCTTCCTATTCCCTGGCCTCTTCTAAGGATGAGGCCTGGCTCAGAAACTTGAGTTGGTGCTCACTGCAATCAGAACCTCATCTGTTTTAGTTCTAGGCGGACAACATGGGCTGAAGAGAGGAAGCTGAATACGGAGACTTTTGGGGTATCAGGGAGGTTCCTTCGCGGCCGCACTTCCCGCGGTGGATTCCGAGGAGGCAGGGGCAATGGGACCACTCGGCGCAATCCAACTTCCCACAGAGCCGGGACTGGCAGGGTGTAAAGATGCAGCCTCCTGAGTGAGTGCGGACCCTTCTGGGTCCTTGGTGGGAGGCACAGGGACAGGGAAACCCAGCTAGAGCTAGGACTTGGGAGCAGGCTGCTTCCAGTCACCCCCAGGAAGAGAATCCTTGACCCTCAGAATCTACCTGCAGTGTTCTCTGGAGTGGTGAGAGCCAGGCCAGTTATACCCAGGCCTCACCGGTGGGACCCCAGCCCTGCCTCCTCTGTGTGAGGTTCTGGGTGTGGGAGGATGCGGGCCGTGGCTTTCTCCTGTGAACTGCCTGCTGCAGAGCAGCTGGTGAGTGAGATTGCTGTACACTCATTTGTCACAGCCCAGCCTGGCGCACTGTCAGAGGCTGTGTGATCAAGGGCAGAACCACTCTTTGCAGACCCAAGCGCAGACCCAGTCCCCAGCACAGATCTGGACAGGAAAGTGGGCAGCCTGGCCTAATTTGGCGGGGGCACTTGAGGGGGTCTCTGGTCCTGGGCAGACAAAAGCATCCGGTGATATTAGGTGGCTGATTACCAAGCGAGTATGGACTGCTCACTTCCTTCTCTTGCAGGCTCGTTTAGAGGTGCAGGTGGTGCTGCATATATCAGGACACAGGAAACGCCGCACATGTGGGAAGCGGGTCCCGTTGAGTTCGGCAAATTCCCACACTGCTACTTATGTTTGTACTCAATTGAACTTGGACATGGTCTGAGTTAGAACTTGTTTTGGGGAAAGTATTCATGGGTAACCTCTTTGAGGTATCATGACCTACGTTCCTTTTCAGTCATGCATAGCCTAATTGTAAGGTTTGGTATTTTGCAAAAATGTTTCTATAGCAAAGGCTTGATCCTCACTTCGTGACTGTTTCTTTTTTATGACAGCTTTGACTTTTAAAGTGGAACCAAATCTCATTTGGCACACATGGCAGCCAAGTGCTTCTCTAACCCATCTGGTCCCTGGTGCTGCTGGCCTGGCACCCTTATAGCCAGGGGGATCTCAGGAGCCAGGCAAGGCCAGCATAGGGTGGGCTGGGGGTGTGGGGTGGGTGGGCTGAGGGCAGGGAAAGGGGGTGTCCCCGTGGATCATGTTGTGTGACAGTGATGGCAGGTTGAGGGCTGACAGGGTGGGTGGAGCAAGCTAAGGTGTTCCATGGGGCCTGGCCCTGTAGCTACTGGAGCTGTGGGTTGGAAGCCAGGATGAGCCCATGCTGGTCCTCCTGTCCCTCCCTGCCAATTGCGGACTCTGCCACACTTCAGCATTCTCAGCCACCTGGAAATCTGGAAATGAGCCAGGTTTCAGGGGTGGGGTGGTGGGTGGGGCAAGGTCACTTGACCTTATTCTTGATTGTAAATAGTTCTTGTGTTTTTTGTTTTAGAGTGGAGGGAGGGTGGGGAATATAAATTTGTTGCATGAGTAAATGGGTCAGACCTCCAAGTATAAGCATGCATCCTCTGACGGCATTTTGTTTAAAATAAGCACCTTGGTAACTAAATTTCCTTTAATAGCTAAAATGGCTATAGTTCTGTACTGACTAAGTTACTGTAAAGGCTTGGGTTTATTTTTGTAGGCCTTTTTGGCTGAAAACTAGAACATTAGCATTGGGGTTGCTCTGTTGGAGAAATGTAAATTGTAACTATAAATAAACATGCAAACCTTTCAACTTTGGTCTGCTGCCTAAATCACCTGTCATGTTCAGGGACCAGCCAGAAGCAGGTGCTGTTGGGACCTGGAACACACTTGGACTGGCAGGGCATGGGCTTCCGTGGGTGTCCAAGGAAAGAGGGACTTAGCCGTCGTGTTGAAATACAGTGACACGGCTCTGGGCTCTCACTGTGGGCAATCTTCAGGCATGAGTGGCTCTCCTGCCAGCAGCCTACTTCATCGTAAGTGTCCAGGTTACTTCAAAAGCAGACCTCAGCCCCAGAAGGCACATGGTCAGCTGAATAGGTGGTTTCCCTTTAGTACCTTCCTGAGGCTCAGCAGGCTCCACGGCAGGGACTGTTGACAGGCAGCCTTCCATTGGGAGTGGGGTTGGGGTGCAAATAAATGATACATGCCATATGCAAGCAGCCTCAGCACTTAATTCTAAACTAAGGGACTCCATGGTCAATGTTTATTTCTTCGCTACAGAGACCAAATATAGTTTAGCCATAGTTTACTACCTGCGAAAAGCCTTGGTGTTAAAATCTCAAGCTGACAGTCATTCTGACAATTAGCCAGTTTATACTGAGCTCAAACCATGTGGGTCCCTACTTGGTAAAGCATTTGTTTACAGTAAAGCAAGAACTAGGCATAGGGATCTGCAGATGGAGGCAATAAGCAGTGTAGGTGTAAGGCCTAAGGACCCAAAGGCTAAGACTGGACAATATAATTGCTTTGGACTGGAAGCCAGGAGGCACCCATTTTGGCCAAAAAGTAATTGGGAAAAGGGAAGACTCGGACCCACAGGCCCTAAAGTAGAAAACGTGAAACCTCTCAAAACATGATTAAAACCAAATATACAAAACTAAACAGAGCCACTGTTCTGCAGAATTTGGAGGCTGTTTTGTGCTGTTTTGTGTTTCTGTCCTCACCCTTCTATGTCACAGTGTTGAGAAGTCTTTCAGTAGAACCTTGTGTCTGCTGGGTGCCAGGTGCTCTGCGGAGACCTCAACTCTAATAAGTGGTTTATCTAACAGCCTGGTAACAAGGAACATGTTACAGCAAACAGTCATGTTAAAAAAAAAAAACAAAAAAAAAACGGGGGAGAGACTCCCATCTCTACTATAGTGAGACCCAAAAGATAACACAAGGAAAGGTTAAAAAATATGAAGTTTACTGGGCTCTCAGCGTGACAGATGGAGAAGCCCACACGTCTCTGAGACTTATCCATGATTGAGTTTAAAAGCTGCTCCAAGTTTTCTTCATGATGCTTTCTTTTGTTTCTTTTTTTCATTTTCTTCTTTTTCTTTTTCAATTTCAGCAACATATTTCTCAATTTCTTCAGGATTTAGAATCTACAAATAAAAAAACACTTAGGGCCAGGGATTTAGCTCAGTGGTGCAGGCACTTGCCTGGCAAGTACAAGGTTCTGAGTTTGACCCCTGATACCAGGAGGAAAAAAACCTAAAACTCTGCTATAGGGCCTTAAACTCATGGGAATCTTCCTGCCTCAGCTTCATTTATAGTTAACCCCCATGCTATGCGACATGCAAAGCAGTAGCATCCTTTGTAGGGACCTGGAGCCCCCTTGGGAAAAGACTAGAAAACAAGGCAGCATTTGCCTGATCCAGTTAACAGCTGGTACTGCAGCAAAGCTGCAGTGACAGCCTCAGTGGGCCAAGAGGCACCCAAGCAACATCTGGAACCACAGGAAGGAAAGTGGAAATGTTTACAGACATCTGCGAGGGGCCCTGGACATGCACAGAGGTAGGGCCACAGTGGATGGTCACTACAAGGATGATACTTTTCAGAAAGAAGCGGGGGCTGGAGATTTTTCTGGCTCAGTGGTTCTGCCTGCCTTGCAAGCGCAAGGACTGGAATTCAATCCCGGGTACCAAAAACGAAACAGGGCTTTGCCACTGTGCTTTAGCACTAGGGAGGGTCTTTTCCAAGGCTCCCTACAGAGGTGAAAAGAACACAAATATAAATGTAGTAGTTACCTTGAGAGGCTGATCTCTCCTCATGACAGCAAGTTCAATGTTTTTGCCACCTGACTGGACAACCTTGAAGGGGAAGAAAATGAGCCTATAGTGCTGCCAAAGAGGCCCAGCCCCAAGGTTTTTGGCCCAAACACACCAAACGAATTTGGTATATGGAGGGTCTGTTCAGGATTCGAGCACCTGCTCCTGGTTGACACAAGGTGCTGCTGTTGCTGGCGTCCCCTTGAACAGGCACCAGTGGCCACTAGAAAGCCCAGCCCCACTCCTGCCCTTGGAGCTATCCCCGTCTGGTTTCACCCACTAGCATCTTCAAGGTGCTAATAAAGGAGTCTGTGGCCTCACTGTGGCTAGCCCCAGCCCGGGGTTTCCACTCTGTTCCCTGAAGCGGCATACGCTGGAAGGCAGAGTGACCATACTCCACAGCCTGATGGCCGCGTTATTATCGGACCTTTTTCTCATGCTGTATGCCCCTGGCTATCCAAAGGAGCAAGTGAGTACACTTCCTTCCAGGGCTCTTTAAGCACAGCAGACATGACAGAGCAGGCAGTGCATCTCTGCCACCTTGCCCAGATTCTCACACACTTACTTCCAGGAGTGCCTTGATCACGAGCTTGATGGTCAGATCGTCTGTCTCAATGGCTTCATCGGTATAGTTCTTCTCCAGGAATTCACGCACTGACTTGGCACCCCTGCCTATGGCATTGGCCTGAAAATGACAAGCATGTCATGAAGCAAGAGGTTCAGTCCTTCCCCATGGTCTGTCCCTAATGCCCCCTTTGTTCTGTCATGGACTCACCTTCCAGGCATGGTATGTGCCAGAGGGGTCAGTCTGATAGAGTCGAGGGGTGCCGTCGAAGTCGAAACCCACAATGAGGGCAGAGATGCCAAAAGGCCTGCGCCCATTGCTCTGTGTATAACGCTGGTAGGAAAAGAAGTCAAAGACATCAGTCCTAAAAGAACTCCTGTGGCATCCAAAACAACTGTGCTTAGTAAAGAATAAAAGTACCCAATGTAAGACCCTCCTAGGTTACCTGCAACTCAAACAATAAACTAGCTAATAGATTTCAATCTCCCTCCTTTCTTCTCTGCACTTTAATTCTTACAGACCAGCTAGGACTAGAATCGCAGCACACAGAAACTGAGGCTATTAGAAATTACTCTGATAGGCATACTTTCTGGCTCCACGAGTGCAGCTGCTTTTCAGCCCACTCCATGCTGACTGGCAACTTAGTCATTTAGAATGGCAAGATGGAACATTCCCCTCACGGCAGAAACATGATGAGTGTTTGGACTGCTCCACGCCAGGAAATGACAACACAACAGTGTCACTCAACTGGAGAAGCTAGACAAGACCAAGATACACACTCTAAAGACCCGGACAAGGCGCACACAAGCTGTGCAAAGTACTAAGGCAGGCTGTAACCACCCGACCCATCAGCACTGGATGCCCACCTGCTTCAGGCTGGCAATGTAGCGGGTGATGTACTCCACTGTGACTGGGTCCTCCACAGTCAGGCGGTGGCTCTGGCACTCCACCCGGGCCCTGTTGATGACGATCCTTGCGTCAGCAGTGAGGCCTGCAAACAGAGCAGAGGCATCTGCCTGAGGAGCCACTCCTCAGAGCTCCACTAAGAACAAGAATTATACACATGGGACAGCACTGAACTCCCCCAGATTCCCATACCAGCACGAGGTGGTTATGAGTGACAGACAGTGACCTCCAGAAACTGTGAGAAAACGGACATACAAAATACCTATCATACCCCATTCAAACATGCTAGCTGCCTCCTGGGAACCCTTTTTTGTGGTACTGGATCTAAGTCAGGGCCATGAATCTCAGACAAATACTCTACCACTGAGCTACTTCTCCAGCCCAGCCTTGAACTTGTGGTCCTCCTGCCTCAGCCTCCCAAGTAGCTGGGATTACAGGTGTGTGCCCAGCTTCCCTGGGGGCTCCTAGGAGTTCAGTCATCCCTGATTTCTTTTACCTGACTTGAGATGCTCTTAGGTTGGATCTGCTGTAGGAAGCAATGGGTGAGGCTGGGGGATATGAAGGCTAGTTTCACACATGCGGCCCTTGCAGCTGCTGTGTAAGGTAAAGGCACTGTCTGGCTCTCCGTACCACAGCTGCAGACCTGGCTCGAAGGGAGCAATCACCAACACAAGCATAACAGTAGATGTGAAGGGTCACGGCGGCCCCAACTGTACGTGTTTGCATTCATTTAGCCAGTTGTGTTTTGCCCACACTGGCAAAGAGCCAAAAAGCATCTCTGCCTACCCTTTACTTAAAGTCCAAATCCACTTCTTTTAAATCATTTTTCATTCATTTTTTATTACTAGTTTATGTGTCTCACAATCACCTTTGCACCCAAGTGGTCTGCAAAACTCTATTCCTCACCAAGACTGAGGTGAAAGCCCCGACCACAGACTTGTACCTGCAAAGGCCATGCAGACGTTGTCATCCAAAGCACAGATCTTTCGCACTGTTCTTTCATCTTGTAGTTTAGCCACTGATTTCTTTTCCACACCAAGAACAACAATGTCCCTTCCTCGAACACCAACCTTCAATACAAATCCACAAGCCACGTGAAAATGACAACCCAGTACCCAGGGCACAAGAACAGATGTTACTGTGAATCCTGGCAAGACTGAGGGCAGCAGCCCACTGGAAGGGGTGTTCCCCCATACTCTTCCTTCCGCGTGTCTGTCACTAGTCGCTCCACACCACGCCCTGCACACCAGAGTATAAATCCATCCTTCGTGGAGCCAGTTCAGGTATTGTGACCCAGGTGCCCAATCTCATGCCTTTAAGATACTGACAAGTAGTTGTACTGTAGCTAGCTCGTAGGTAAGCACAAGGAAATAAATGTATTTCATTTCAGCCCAAATAATCCCTTGAAATACTCTGCAGTCTGAGATGAACCTTTACATCACATGTCCCGAAACCAGTGTTTCTGGGGTTGTGACGTCTTACTAAAGACAGCTTCACCACCCCTGTACTGTCATTCATCAGTACGCATAGCAGTGAACAACTACTCCCTGGTTATGGCTGGCATTTTAGAGGGAATGATGTGGCCGCTATTTAAACATGAAACACCACTGACCATCCTTTAAGTCAGGACAGGTGCGGAAACAGATGGAACAACCGTTCAGACAAACCAGCGACCTGGTATAGAAGGAGCAGGTGGCTGGCTGCACCTCAATTCTCCAGGCGCCGGGAACACCTCTCAAGGTCCGGGACAAAGCTCTGCACAGGTTTCAGTTCCCAGGAGCTTGCTCCCCTGCTGACTCATGGTGACCCTCGGCCCTGAGACCGAGCTGGAGGCAGCAAGTGGCTGGCCTCTAGGAAGTTCGGGATGATGGGGGGGGGGTGATAAGGAGACTCCTCTTCCAGAGCTCTTCGGGCTGACTTAAGAGCATCAGACAGAGCTGGAGCATTCATTAATTTCAAAATGGTTAATGCTTCAAATTTCAGAACCCCGTGTGCTGGCTTTTTCTGCACAAAACTTTGAAAGACGAGGTGTTAAGAGAACGACTGTCCTACGGTTTGACAAGGCTGGCAGAAGTCCTAAAGACGTCATGGCTTTATACTTCGAGCAGCTTCCGCTACGGTCCCGGCAGGCAAGAGGCTCGCCCAGACCAGAACCCGGCATCGGCGGGCGCTGGGCGGAGCAGCCGGCCCGGAAGCGGCTCGTCACCAGCGCAGGCCAGCTAGCCGCCCTTCGTT